TTGCAGTTGTAGAAGAGACCCTGCCTTTTGGGTTTAACTTTCTAGCCTCTTCCGCTTCTGTTGTTAATCGATCCTTTACCTCTCTCGTACCTTTGGCATCTTCCTGTCAATTATCTTTCATATTAAAAAAAACAAGAACAAAACAATCCTCTTTTTTTCTGTACATATTGACTAATCTTGCATCTCTCTTTCTTAGTTCAACATCTTTGAATAATAATCTACAATTATTTGCACATTTTTCATGCTATTACTATTTTTCTAGCTAGATATTGTTAGTGTTTTTGTTGTCAAATCCAATGCATATACTTCAGTTCTTATCTTTAATTCTCCATCAATTCTGTATCAATTTTTATACAGTCGATCAAGTTCTTCAAGAAAAAAATGTCTTCTTAGTTCTGTAGCTCTTCCTTCTTTGTCCCTTGAACATCTCTGCCCCTCTATTATAATTTTTTTTCACGATTCCATCCTTAATCAGCTTTCTCTTTTTATATGGCTCTTTCCAACAGACCCACATCCATGGTATTAAATACCTGTTTGTTTTTCATGATTCCCAAATATAGAACTTGTAGCTTGGACTTGACACCAGAGTTCTAGATCTAATATCCATTTACTATCGCTAAATGAGCCATAGTCACCTTCAAAGAAGTGTGTCTAAAACTAGATTTCTCTCCATGCCTTAGGCAGTTTGGGCTTCTATAATCAAATAACATAGACTAGGAGGCTCGGGCTTGTAAACAGCAAACATGTATTTTTCATAGTTCTGGAGGCTGATAATTTCACGATGAAGGCTCTAGCAGATTCAATGTCTGGTGAGAGGCTGCTTTCTGGTTCATAGGCAGCATCTTTCTGCTGTGTCCTCACATGGCAGAAGGGATAGAGGAGCTCTTTGCTTCTGGGTCTCTTTTACAAGAGCCCTGGTCCATACGTGAGGGCTTCATCCTCATGACCTAATCACCTATCAAAGGCCTGACCTCCAAATACTCAATGTGATGGTATTCACCTTTTGTATTCACCTCCATATGGCTAAACAGTTTGCTTGTAATGCTGTTCCTTGATTTGTCAAGTTTAGAATTTACCTATTGACTTTCTCTTCTAATTTCAATAGAGTCACTATAGGGGTGATACTCAAAACACTTAGGAACCAGCAGAGCACAGATGATGATTAACCACAACCACATGGTCCGTGTGAGCTAATTACTGGTCCTGATTTTATGACACATTTTTGTTAAACTATCAGTATTTACATTATTATGAGCACATATTGTTCACTGCTGAAACAAATGGTATACTATAATTATGTTGTCTTGCTTACAGTTTTTGTTTTCTAAAAGTTGTTAATTGAAGTTTTAAAATTCATTTATTCCTCATTAAAAACTAACCATAGTCCTCACCTTTTCTGTGAGTCTTTGCTGCTAGGCAGAGTTGGTTCTGCACCCTACATTATTCCCGTGCTACCTCTGATGTACTCACCATGCTATGTCGTATACATTTCTGCGTCTGCCTGCCTTGTCAGAATGTGAGCTTCTTGAGGTTAGTGATTACCTCTCTTATCTTTGAACCTTCAGTGTCCTGCATCAGTGCCAAACACAGAGTGTCTAATACATATCTGTTGAATTATGGATGGAACAGGAATGTCCTTTCTCTCTGAAGCAGCCTTCAATATTGAGTAGATGGTCTTGTGAACGTTTCTCAGATTTCTGGGTTGCTCCATACAGATCAAACACTGCAATGCCTGTCAGGGTCTAGGCATTTAAAATAAATGGTGTGGCATGCCTGATGGGATCTGTGGCATTAAAGGGGGTGACCTGCTAGTAGGCTCCAGCCAGTTGTTGCCATGAAAGTGTTTCAGATCTGTGTCACCAGACCTTCTGCTTTTTTAATACAAGCAGAAAAATCCAGGTTCTATACAAACTGTCATGATTCAAATTTTAAAAACTATGCAGACCAAAACAATGGTTCTTCAGGGTTCATTTGGTTCATGACCACCAGCCGATGAAGGTTATTGAGTGAACACTCTCCCAGAGCCTTGAGCTTGATGTCTGGTCTGCCTGAGGATGTCTCTACTCTGAGGGGTCCTCCCCAGGGGCTCACCCCAGTGGTATCCCTTTGCCAGCTGATGCCAGCATGTGGAGTGAGTCTTAGAAGACGAGGGCCTGGGCACAGCCTGCCAGAATGTTCCAAGGCCCAGGGAAGGTTTCAGTGGAATCAAGATTTCCTCTGTTGGGTAGAAATAAAGAATGATGTGTTAAATTATAAGTGACAGTGGGATGGAAAATAAGAAGATGAAAAATTGTATCTATGTGCTAAGCAATTTGTGTGCCTTTTCTTATATTATTTAATTCAATTTTTACACAACCCTGAGAAGGAGATGCTGTCACCCTCAGTTTGCAGATATTGAATCTCTAGGAGAGTTAGAAGTTTGTTTGTTTTTTTTCAGTTTCCACCATTAGGCGAGAGAAACTCCAGAATTAAGGCGTCCTGATTATGCCCATGAAGAAAACCCATGTATGAGATTTTGAAAATGAGTTAAACTTGCTTTATAATAAAAAAAGAAATTGATTAAAAATTTCAACTGGAAATTGATATTGGGATCTTTGATCTTGATGTTTGTTTTGTTCATTTTTTTATAGATTGATCTAAGATTAGTCATTCTTTAAACATTTGTTGAATATCATTGTGTTCTATGTTGGGTACCAGGATTACAGAGATGAGTGATATACAATTTCTGGGCTTGAGAAGTCCTAAATGATTATTTCTGATGTATTCTAAGTGTGAAAGGAGGGAGCCAGGTATTGAGAGAAAAGATATGAAAAATCTAGAAATATAGTGGCCAAATTGCACTCTTTTAAAAATTGAGTTACTCTCTTTTTCTTGTTGTAACAAACAAAATATTCAAGTAGAAAAATTAGAAAATACATATAAGGAAAATTAAGGAAAAAAAATCTCTTTCTAACCATTGTGAGCAACTGTCTACTTACTTACCCACTTTTTTTGACTATTTATCTATATGGATAATTTTATACTTAAACAGAAACACATGCAGACAAACACTCTCACAGACCCCACTACACTACTATCCCATAGTGCTTGTCTTACTGAAGAATATTTTGAAATGTTTGAAAATCATTTTTTTGTGGCTGAATAACATTTTATTGCATGGAAGTATTTCCATATATTTAATCAGTTCTCTATTGTTAGATATTTAGGTAAATTCTAATTTTTTATAGCCTATGTCTTATAGAGAAATTTGTAGCTAAGTCTTTTTATGTATCTTGAAGTATTTCTTTAGGACAAATTGCTAGAAATGAAATTACTGGATTTAAGTATTTGTTCAACTTTTGAGCTTTTAGCACACATTGTCCTCTAGAAAAGTAGTCCTAATTTACCCATCACTGATGGACATGAATTTCCATTTCTCTTCACTGTTTCCATTGCTAGTTACCATCCCTCTCTTTTTATTATTATTTTCCAATTCAATGGATAGAAAAGAATCTTTTTGAAAATTCTTGGCCTTTGAACTTTCTAGACTGTTGTTCTCTGGTTCAATACTAGCACTTTGTGTTTCGGTTACTCGGTTGGCTGATTACCTGCCTTAGTAGCTTTGGAGCAGTGTGAGAGTAGAGCATGTCCTATCCACCTGTGTATTTCTGGGTGCTCGTGGATGTTTGTTGAACTGAGTTGTGTTGGAGGACATGCGTAGTTTAGAGACCTTGGCTAGACGTATAAATGTCAATACAACCAGTGGACAAGTTATTCTATTCCTACCAGTTACATAATGATGAGTAATTGAATTGAGTATTGATTACATGTCAGCATTGTATTAAGTGCTTTACATACTTACCTAATTGAATCCTCACAACAGTGCTCTGTAGAAAACATAATAATTATCTCTATTTTGCCAATGAGGAAACTGAGAAATTATGAACTTGTCCAAGGTTCATGGCTGTAAGGTGGCAAAAACGGGTGACGAACTCAGGACCAGCTAATTGCCGAGCCATCTTATCTCCTCTCCTCTGCCCTCCCCTCCTTTCTCCTCTCCACCTTCTTATGATAGAAACTTAAAAACATATATATAAAAGTAGAGAGAACAGCAGAGTGAACCAGCTTTAACAGTCATCAATATACGGCCAATCTTGTTTCATCTATCCCTTTCCCTCACTACCTCGCACGCCTCTTCCCTCGTTGGATTATTTTAACGCAAGTCTCAGATACATTAATTTCATTAATAAGTAAGAGACGTGGACTCTGTTTTTTTTAAATATAAACCACAATATCATTATCTCACCTGAAACTATCTACAAGTCCTTAATATTATCTAATGTCCAGGCCATGTCAGATTTCCCTGGTTATCTCTAAGTGATTTTTACTGTTGGTTTGTTTGAATCAGGACCCACTCAGGGACTATACTTTGTATTCTGAGCTGTTCTAGCCACAACACGAGTTCCTCTCTCCCTCATACATTTCCATGAGGCCTGTCCTCCTCAGAGACAGAGATACTTAGCTGGAGAAATGTGAAATTTTTAAATAATCCCTATGAACTGAGTATCTGGTTTCATCTCACCATAAGGAAGCACACTCAATAACTAATACCTGAGAAATACTGGGTCTGTGTGGAATGGAGAAAATACACTGCCACACGGGGCTCACCATCCCTTCTCCCTGGAAATTCTGTGTATTCATCAAGTGGCTGAGAGCTTCCTCTATTTTTCTGCTTGTAGGATAATGCTGCACCACATGCTATGGTCAGTTCTCCTTACTTAAGGAGCCAGGCCTTGTCAGATATAAATGATGCTGGCTTGAGAATTCTGTCTTGAGTCCTGAGCTTAAAATATGAGACAGGCTAACCTGTGGACGCCCCCTCCCCTGCCACCCCACGGCGGGATAATGACTTGGAAATGGGAGACACAGGCTTGTTATTTTCATAAATCGTCATGACTTTGATGGCGTCTTTCACATCGAGCATGTTTTCATGTTTGTTTCGGTTCTGTTTGAATTTGAAGGTCTAGTGATCCTCCACTACGTCATTGCAGATGGGAATTCAACCAGGAGTCCTGGAGAAGATGGCCTTCTCTGTGGAGATCTCGGGGAAAACTGCCCAGGTAACACTCAACAAGTGATTTGTTTGTATTTTGTCAGCTTTATATTCAGTCTCAGAACAGTGATCTCCCTATTCTATTTTTTGAATTTCAGAGTTATTTATTATTTACCTTTTTAGTTGAACTATAGTCAGTTTACAATGTTGTGTCAGTTTCTGGCGCACAGCATAATGTTTCAGTCATACATACACATACATATTCTTTTTCATTATAGGTTACTACAAGATATCTGAATATATCTTCTATATTCATATATACAAGATATATGAATATAATTCCCTATGCTATACAGTATCCACTTGTTATTTATCTATTTTATATATAGTACCTGCACCTCTCAAACTCCCAATTTATCCCTTCCCACATCCTTCCCCATCCTTGTAACCAGATCTCCCTAAATTTTAAGTTGTTGACAATGTAGCAATCATAAAACTAAGCAGTGTTTTGAGCACATGCTAATGCACCAGGCACTGGGCTAAGTGTTTTACATACAGTAATTCATTCTCTCCTTGCAGGAACCCTATGAACTGGATATTTTTTTACTCTATTTCAAGATGAAGCCTAGAAAGGAAACATAAGTTGCCAAAGGCCACACAGTGGTATATAGCAAATCTGGGATTCCCTTTCAGGTCTTTTTGATTTTAGTGCTTCCAGTCTTTGTCATTATACTATATTGGGCATCACAGATGTGTGCTCCACCTCTTAGCAGGAGATCTCTGGGCTGGATCCATAGAAAAGTTGGCATATTCTATTCAAATTAAAACTTTTTTTTTTGCTATTTTATAAGTTAAAAGAAGGGAAGAAGGCAACAATTTTTAAAATATGTTTTACCTTAGAGTTTCTTGAAAAAGTATTCTCAAAGTCATTAATCTGAAGCAGAGCCAGCCTTAGTAAAGAGTCAGACAATAAGAATTTAGATTCTGTGGGCCATGTGGCCTTTCTTGCAACTACTCACCTCTGTGATTGTGCTATGAAAGCAACCATAGGCGCTATGCAGATGAATGGCCTTGGATATCTTCCAATAAAACTTTACTTAGAGGAACAGACTGTGAGCCAGATTTGGCTATTGTACCATAGTTTGTTGATTCCTGGTCTAAGGTTCTGCCTGTCCTTTATAGATTGTGTGCTCTGGTCTCCTACAGGAGTTGTTTCTTGTTTTAAAACAAAACACAACACAGGACAATTCCAAAAGTAGGACAGAGTGGAGAAGAGCCTCCTGTGTTCCCTGGAAGCCTATCTGAGCTGGGAGTGTGGTGACTTGGGGTTAAGTGCTCTTTTCCTAGCACCTTGGGGACATTGTAACTGAGCCAGGAACACGCTGATCAAGTTGTCCTGATGTGAGTCACCAGCTCCAGCCCAGTTTTACTCTATCCTCCCTCACACTTGTGGGTGGTCTGGGGAGCACCCATAGCCTGTGGTATCCATCGCTGTCTGAGGTCTTGCTTGTATGGGTCTTGTTACCCCTGTAGTCAGAAGGACAAAGCCAACTTTATGTGTCTGTGTGCTTTTCTTCAGTCTGGTTTCAAATGTCTTAAACAATGGCATTTTCACATTTCCTTTGGGAGATCATTCCATAATCTGACGTGGACAGTGTTAAAAAGTCTTCTTCCTCATTATCCTAAATGTATTTTGTAATATTTTTATTGTAGTAAGAACATTTGACATGGAACCTACCTTTTAACAAAAATTTAAGTGTAGAATACAGCATTCTTAACTATAGGCATCTGAGGTTTCACAACAGATCTCTGGAAATGATTCATCTTATATAACTAAAATTTATAGCCATTGAACAACAGATCCTTTTTTCCTCTCCCCAATAGTCCCTGGTAGCCACCACTCTACTCTCTGCTTCTGTGCATCTGGCTATTTAGGTAACTCATGTAAGTGAAGTCATGTATTGTTTTGCCTTCTGTGACTGGCTTATTTCACTTAGCATAATGTCCTCCAGATTTATCCATGTGGCTACATATTGTGAGATTTTCTTTTTTTAAGACTGTGTAATATTCATTATCTGTATATACCACATTTTCTTTATCTGTTCATCTCTTAGTGAATATTTAGCTTGTTTCCACAACATGGCTGTTGTGAATTATGCTACAATAAACACGGGAGTGCAACTTTCTCTTTGAGACCCTGATTTCAGTTCTTTTGGATATATACCCAGAAGCCATGTTGCTGGATGATATGATTGCCCCATTTAAAATTTGTGGAATAAACACCATACTATTTTCCATAGAGGCTATAGGTTGCCTTTTCAGTCTCTTAATTGTTTCTTTCCTGTGCAGAAGATTTTTAGTTTGTTTAAGGTCACAGGTAAGTGGAGTAGCCTGACATGAATTTGGAGAGACCTGGCTCTAGAATGTGTGTTGTTAATTTCCATGCTAAAGTCTTAGAATATGTTGGGAGATGAGAATGCCGTATAAATGGGGGAAATTCTGAAAAATAATTGCTTAAAAGTCCAAATAAGGACAGTAGCTTCTAGAAAGAGGAATTAGTGTGAAGTGGGAGCAGATTGTTTCTGTTGAGTGACTGTGTGACCTTGAGCAAGTCACTTAAGTTTTCAGAGACTTAGCTTGCAACCTGTAAAATAAAGAAGTGCATTAGATGATCTTTAGGAATCCTTCCTGTTTCTAAATGACTTTAGGATTTTGTTTTCAGATAGCCCAATCTTTGAGCATTCTATTTTTACTTTTCTATTTTCTATCTTGAGACACTGATTCATTCTGCCAGTACTTATGAGTACATAATACACAGGAGGTCCTGTTCCGTGTGCCAAGGATGCAACAATGAACAAAATAGTTAAAGGTGAGGTCAGAGAAGCAATGGGAAAAGAGAGGTAGATGCCATTTACTGAGATGAGGAAATATCCCATTCGAGGGGGAAGATCTCTTGCTCCATTTTGGAAGTTAGGTTGACATGCCAGTTAGATGTTAGGAACAGCTGGCATTGAGGGAAGAAATTTGGGATAGAAGCAAAGTTGAGCACTGTAACCAGTAAGGTGTTTGAGGCCAGGAAACACCGAGTGAGGAGGCAGGGAGAGGAGAAGAGATAAGAAAACACTGAGCCTCACTGCACTGCAAAATTTAGAGGTTTGGGGAGTTGAGGTGGAACCAGCAAGGGAGAATGAACAAAGGAGGCATCACATGCATTCTCGAAAAACAAAATAAAATAGTTTTTTTCCTGTCCGTTCGTCTTTGTCTCCTAGCCTTGAATAATTTTAAATACAGGAAATACACTCAAACCTTAACCCTTTTTTCCTTTCTTTAAAGAGCTAGAAGGAAAAGTGAGCCCTAAGTGAAGGTCCACTCCTGTAAGCTCAGAAATGGTTGGCACAGTCCTTCTGGCGAAAAGACCTACTGATCAGGCCTGACTGGTGCCCTGTGTAAGTGTTTCCTAGTAGCCCGGGAGGGTAACAAGTGTGTCTGTGAGACTTATTTTTCTTTTCCTGGAGAGACAGACCCATTCACATTTTTATAGGAAATGGCATTGAATGTAAGACAAATGGAAATCCTCAATTACAATACATCATCCAATTTTGCACTTTTTCAAGGACATCATGAATTTACATTCCCCTGTCTCAAGGAGCTAGTTGGCAAGATAAGAAGGAAAATTAAGTTAAAAAATATGAAACTTTCTTCCTCCCCTCTTGGCTTAAGAAGGTTGTAAGAAGAAACTCCTCTTTGGGAAGATGCCTGGAAGCCAAGAACTAGAATATTAGACACTTAGGCTCTACTTCATAGACTAAGAGGAAACTTTTCTCCAAACTTTGCTGCTACCATTTAACTCTTCTGTGTTACTACCCCACCCCTTTTTAGATCAGATATCTGTTTGGGAAGATAAATTTATAAATATTTGTTTTCCTTTTTCTCTCTGTTAACACTTGTGAGACTTATAGCTAAAAATTTGGTATCCCTTTTTAATCTCTTACACAGAGATCTAACTATGTAGCTAACTAAATTTTAGAAATACAAGAGATTATAAACATTGTAATGAGATTTACCAAAAAAAAGTATTGTAATAATAATTGTATATTACCCTTAGAATGGATTTCAGAAGAGTTCCTGATATTAATATCATTTACAAAATTACTACATAGATTTTAATGAACATTATTCTAGTAAGTGAAGGAAGCTTTTATGAAAAATAAACCTAGTATATCAATGGTGAAGGCTTTTAATCACATGGCTTGTGAATAAGAATCATGCACAAAAAGACTAAGAAATCACACTGTTTAATCAAAGCCTGCATCAAATTAAGGAAAATTCCATATTTAAAACAAGTCATTTAGGTGTTTGCTATGTTCCTCCACTTCAGTTTGGTGCAGAAGAATCCATCACATCTCACCTATCTATGTGACCTAAGGAAGGTGACCACTTCTTGTCTATCTGCCCATGCTATCAAAGGAAGATGTTCTTGCTTCTGATCCCTTTCACCAACTCTTAGAAACAAACTTCAACATCAGTGACCTGCAGTAGCCCTTGTGATTTCTTATTTTATTGGCTTTAGCATCTTTGAAATGCAGCATCTCATGAAGGGTTTCTGAGATGTTAATCGTAGTGCCCATCCACTTACGAGATGGTGTTGTGATCTGGCCCACTAGTGCATGTAGTTTGCCTGTGCAGTTTTATGAGACAGTCTTACTCTGTCCCATACATTGTTTTGATTTTGGGAATGTGGGCTGGAAAAGAGTAAGGTGGGAGGGAAAAAGATCAATTAAGTTTCACCACCCCCAGGATCAGGGGAATCTTCACAGCTCTCACATTTTTAAGACCATGCAGTTCACTTCTTAACAGAAAAACACAATACGGCGGACTAATCATTCTTTTGCCATAGGATTAACTTTTCCCTTTTCTTGATAAACATCTCTGGGATGGAAGGGTAGATTTTGCCATCCCGTCCCCTGTGTCATTGGGTCTCTTGATAGGCAGAAAATGTTAGATTTCACAGTTGTTCAATTTTCAGATAAAGTGATCTTGATGAATATTAAATGAAAGCAACTGGAATTTTAGGTGCATTTTGAAAGGGGGAATGCTGATAAGCCTTCTCATTTCCATGAGAGAGGAAGAGAGGATCCCATCTGGTTTGGGGGGTGGTGTGCAGGATGTGTGATTCATTTTTCTTCCAGGTTTTAAATTTCCATAGAGAAATCACAGGTCATTTTCTGCTTGGTGGCATGGAAGGGTTTTTAAATCCAAATAACGCTGGGAATATTTAAAGGCATGCTTATTTGGCAAAGGAGAGAGTTCTGTGAGCAATCAAAACAGGGCCTGGCAACCATTTCCCTGGCATGAATTTGTGTTGCTTGGATGAACCGAGGCTGATCAAATCACTGCATCCAGCAGCTGCTGGTTAAGGCACTTCTTGGTGTCATGCTCTGTGTGGTGTTTATTAAAAGACTGGCTACATTTAAAGGGGCACGGCAGCCAGAGAAATTAGTAAAGTACAAGATACAGAGCCATGTGGCTTATATTTAAAGTCAGGTGTACTTTGCAAAGTAGAAAAGACTTTTCTGGAGCACAGCAGATCTGTCAGTACTGCTTCTTAAATTCATCTCCTCGCCCTTCATTCCCCTGTCCCTGGCTCATATCCTGTGTGTCTGTGTGGCTCAGGTGTGCCTTGGATTCCTCCTCCCCTCCTTGACATCTTCCTACTTTAATCCATTCTGCACTTTCTTACCTAAGACACTGATAAAATGCTTCACAGTTTAGTTTTTGCATATACCATTTCTCTAGAATTGCCAGGATTTTCAAGATTCTCATTATTGTCCCAGGCACTTTGCTAGGAATTTCCACATGTATTTTTGACTTGAGCTTCTCAACCACCTTGTAAGGTAGATGTTATCATCTTCAATTTCCAGATGATGAAACTGAGGCTCAGACAGCTTAATTAGCTTGTCTGGACCCAGAGGGCCGGTTAAAGGCAGAGCTGAAAATGAAACACTAATTTCCTTTTCCTAATCCACTGTTTTTCCCACCATTTCGTTTCCAGTGTCTCACAACTGTTTGTGTGGTTTCTATGGCTGTTTTTACTAGTTGGTCGCTTATTATTGACTTTAATTTGCTCCGTTGTAAATACCAATGTAGAGAGTTAGATAGGCTATCCCTTATCTCTTTGATGTTTTCCAGTGCCTACTACAGAGCTCTGGAAAGAGGAAGTACTTGACCAGTGGAATTTGACTGATTGATTTTTTTTGCCAAAGTACACAGATCTTTGCCTCTGAGTCATGTTGCAGTTTTTCCTGGGAGAAATTTCAATGAGTCCCGTTGATTGGCATGCATGGGAACAAATATCTGGCACATACAAGGAGTCAGCATCGCTGGTTATCAAGTCAGCTATCAAAACCAGGTCAGCCAGCTCCTCTGCAACACTCTGACCCCCTCTGAAACCCTATGACCTGGTATCACAGGAATCTGCTGTGTATAGATCACTCAGATTTCTTTGCGATTCCTCTTACTGGTGGCCCTGGACAATCATATATACTCATGTCATAATATTAATTAAGTTGTTTAGTAGTCATTGCTGTTAATAAAATGATTGTTTAATGTCACTGGGGTGCCATATCAAACCTAGTATGAAATGCCCTTCTGAAGTGACCACCATGGTCTTTCTAGTTCCACAGTGTCCATGGCTGTGGAAAGTCCAACCCTGGGCTGCAGCTGGCTAGTCAGCTGTTTTCTCTGTGCGTGGGCACCTGTCTGTCGTGAGTCAACACGGAGTAGCTTGTTAGCATTTCTATATTGTTTCTCTTGACAATCCTTATTTATTGAAACTTTCTACAGGTAAGTGATGGAGAAATTGTTACATATTACTGCTCCCCTCCCCCACGATGAAAAAGTAGGCAATCAAGACTCTAAAAGGTAAGACAAGAAAGTCAGGATAGGATTGAAATCCCATTTATGAAGCTCCCAGTGTTTTCTTCTTTCAGGGCAAGAGAAACCCTCCAGAGGTCAGATGAGAGGGAGAACCTCCCATTCAGACAAGCACAACTTCCGGGTGCCTTAGGCTGAGAGCAGATGACAGCTACCTGCTTTACAGAGTGCCAGAGCGGAGCAGTCAAAAGCTTGGACTCTGGGGCAAGACCGCCTGGGTTTGAGTCCCCATTCTGCCCTAGTCCTGCGCTAACTGCATGATCTGGGAAGGTGACTTAGCCTCTGTGTGCTGTGCTTTGCTCATCCATAAGTAGGAATTAGAAGGATTCTTCCCTCACAAGGCTGTTATGAGTATTAAATGAGTTAATACAGTCTTCCCTCCGAATCTGTGCATCTGCAGATTCAACCAACCACAGAACCAAACCAGGGAGTATAGGGGGTCGACGGTGAACACCATTTTACATAAGGGACTTGAGCATCTGTGTATTTGGGTATCACATGGGGTCCTGGAACCAGTCCCTGTGAATACCGAGGGAAGATTCTCTTTGTAAAGCATATAGACTGGCATCAGGCACTCAGTAAGTGCTAGGTGTTTAAATTTAAAAAAGAAAAGGAAAGAAAAGAAAAGAAAAGAAAAAACCGTCTCACTTTTCAGTGCCGTCAGTCCTATGGCTCAGTCTTCATGCAAAGAAGAGCCTTCTCTCTTGTCACAACGACGCTTTACCCTTTTAACAATACCAATGTTTCTGAGAGGTAGTTTGGGCACAAGTCTTAATTAAAATATGAAATGTTCCCATCACAATTCCCATTACCTGTTCCCATTCTAGAGTTAGTTTCTGGTCACAAAACTCAGACATATTCCAGTGCGGAGAGAAGACGAGAGATTGGCATCTGGTCTACAGAAAAAGTGTCAGCACAGGTAGGAATATGATTCTCCTCCCAAATGTGTATTTAAAGTGAGTTGATTTATTGAACCTTTTCTCATTCTTCAGCTACCACCACACAACCAAAGAGAAGAGGCCACTTCTCTCGGTGCCCCAGGCAATACAAGCACTACTGCATCAAAGGGAGATGTCGCTTCGTGGTGGCCGAGCAAACGCCCTCCTGCATGTAAGTGGAGCACGAGGAGCTGACCAGCAAAGGTGCAGGCTGGTGCCGGCTTGGGGCTAGACAGCACTGGAAAGTCTGAGCTAACCGCGCCATCTGTGGGGACGCAGTTCTCCCTGGTCCTGCCACCCGGCCACTTGCTTAGGGGCTCGCAGCTACTTATGGAGAAACTGACGCACACTTTCCTGCTGAAATTTGAGCGTGCGATCCCCTGCCAGGCGGGACCGTGTCCTCTGCTGCCTTGCGCAAGCAAAACTGTTTCTGTCCAGCATTAAGGATGCTTTTCAGCTCAAATAATCTCCCAGGTGGTGCCAATGGAAACACATTCTTCTGGCATGTGTTAGGTGGTTCACAGTGAACGTAAATATGAAGGCATTTCTGCCAAATTAATAGCTACTTTTGCAGGGGACAATTAAGTGGCTAGAAATCAGTCCTATTTACAGAGATTCACGAAGCCTGTTGAGTATAGCAGGGAACTGGGAGAAAAGTTCTCTTTCCAACTCTTAGCAGATTGAGTCCAAGTTTAATTTTACTCAGGCACAAAGAAATGTTTTGCATATCTTCAATATTTATTCTCTTCTAAAAACATGTTCCTCTAAAGTGCTGTCTGAGACTACCTCATAGGGAGCAAGGTGGTTTTTAAGCACAATTTTGATCTAAGGTTTATAGAATGTTTATGTTCTTCTCTGTGCTTGCCCGACATTCCCTTTTTTTTTTTAAACAAGTATCTCAGAACAGTGATTCCAAGCCCTGATGCAGTGGAACATTGAAGAGGAATGGACTGCTTCAAAGTTTAATTATAATTAAATTTAATTAGAAAATAAATATACAGAGATAATAGAGGAGAATAAGAATTGCTATGTAAGAAAATAAGAAAGATGTGCTTGGGAAAGATAGAGCTAATTTTAAAAAACTTTCATTTAATTGCTAACTGGCTTGGGAGAGTATAATGAACTTTAAAAAGATTAATAATCCCCTTTAACCAGTACATTTTTCTGACTGGTCCTTCTGTCTGTGATTGACTGCTCTTGAACACTGCTGCCTTCTAGAATGAAACCACAGCATGAGATTGACCTGCCTTAGATCAATACGCAGTCTGGCCCCTCAGTCAGAGGTTAAAACTCGTTTCTTCTGTAGCTCCTCTGATCCTGGCTTACCTTTCTAGCCGTATCTCTCATCATATTCCCAAATGGTCTGAAATCCTACACTCCTTTGCAAGGTTTATTGGACAAGCTCTTCTCATAGCCTGGAAAGTTTATTCTTACTGATGCTTTAAGATTCAACTCAAATATCAGCTCCTCCTGGACCCCCGCATTGACATGAGTTAGATGTCCTTCCTCTGTGATCCAGTCACACTTCTGTGAAAGCTCTTTTGTCCTGAAGCATAACTGTTGGTTTCTTTGAAAGTCCCCTCTGCAGCTGTGAACTCCTAGAGGGCGTTATTCATTTCATATTCAGTGCCAAGCACAGTGTCTAGGATTTGTGAGGTGCTTAGGAAATGTCTGATGAATAAGTAAGCAAGTCCCTCAATCACGGTTACCCGAGTGTTGTGCAAAATGTCGAAACCAAGGCCTTCGTCTGAACCAGGAACACCTTCTCAGTGGGGGAGTGATACAAAATCGAGGGGAGGAGGAAGAGGATAGGAGTCAGGACATAGACTCTGGAGTCAGATAGACCTAAGTTAAGATTTTGTTTCCACCAGTTATAAGCAGCATTAACAATGGGTCAGCCACCCTTCCTAAGTGTTTTATCATCCACAGAAGTGTTCCTTTCAAGTGCTGAAAATTAAGCAAAATAATACATCAAGCAAAAATACTTATTGTGGTACCCAGTGTAGAGTCAATGTTTGGTAAATTGTACCATTGAAATGAATGGGAGATATTCCACCTGGACCTGACTTTATAGGTGACTTGGTGTAGCCCTGATTCACGCAAAACTGCCTTGCCATTGGTGATTATGCTGTCTTAGGAAACCAGAAATATCTCCTCCTGCTTGGGATCATAGTGGTTTGTATACTTCTGTCCTTACATAAAAAACCAAAGTGTGTTTCAAATAACTGAAATCCCCTCTTGGTCTTCTTAGTATTTTTTTTGGAACTGTTTGATCTGTTTTCAGATACATAACTTTTATTTATTTATGTGGCACAGTTTGTGTAGGCAGTGTGACATGTGGTTGGACACATGACCTTGGGAGCCAGACTTCCTGCCTTGAATTGTAGCCCCACTCACTTACTCTCTCTACACCTCAGTTTCTCCACCTGCAAAATGGGGTTAATAACAGCAACTACTTCAAAGATTGTTATAAGGATCAATTGAGTTACTATTCATAATCTCTTAGAACATTGTCTGATTATTTCAGAATAACCCCCCCCCAAATCCTGATTTTGAACAGTCCTCAAGGGTCATAGCATCTTTTTTTTAAAATCATAGTGACTTTATAATAATACATTTTATTTATTTATTTATTTATTTATTTATTTATTTATTTATCATAGCATCTTTAAACGTTATTTTTAATTCTAACTTATAATGTTAATTTGTAACATAAAATTAATTTAATTATAATTTTTAATTTTAATTTATAAGATTTGATTATAAGATGTTTACTAGATAGAAACTCATTCATTTACTCAGCATTTAATAAAAATTTACTAGCATCTTTCACCTTTTGCCTCTTCCTCTCCCATTGAAATGGCCATTGGCTAATATATGATTAGTTTGATGAGCAGTGAAATAATGTGAGAGCCATTATAACTGGCTATATAAGAATCTGACCTTGTACGTGGCTTCACTGGGTTATAACTTACAGGAAGGACTGCTCACTGAGAAACTCATTTAAAGCATGGTTGAGCAACTGAACCCTGAGCTTATCATTAGAAAAACATTCTAAAAGAGCAGCAAGTAATTGCTATGTCTTTTATGGGCAAAGTTATTGTTTAAAAATGCTGTTTTTAGTAAATTTGTTAAAAAAATTTCAGCTAATTGGCAGAGACTATATTTGTAAGATTTTAATTATAACCTTTAAAAAAACCTTAAAAATCTCCCTCCCACACATGCAATTAAAAGTGATATTCCCCCCAGGTCTAATCCTATATACAAGAGATTTTTGATATTCAAGATATTTCTAAGCTCTCTTCCAGTTATTTTGACCTTGAAATGAAGATCCCAGCTATTCTGCAGGAAGCAATTTTCCCCCATATGTGCTGAGGTCATTTTGCAATAGACAGCGTTAGGTGTTTTTTGTCCTTTGCTTACATTTAGTCTTACCTTTCAGTTGATGTTTGTGACTGAGCTAGATTTATTTTTTAAGCATTGTGCTGGCTATAGTTTTGTCAGTAAGGGATCTCCTTACTTGAGAAATACAGGCTTTGTGGGCGTTGACTGCCTTGGCTTTTATCAAACATAAACTCCAGAGCAACCTGGCAATGGATCCTTTCTTCAAACAAACAATAACGAAAAAATGAGGTTACACAGAAATCTTTAAATCTTTTCAGGAAGCAGAGTTTCACGTGTCTGAGGTTGAAATAATTATGTATATGACCAGTATCTCTTTGTGTTTGGAATGAGCCCAAGGAGGAAAAAAAGGAACATATTTGTTAGTGTAAAGGTCCTGACATTGCAATGTATCATTTTGGTTTTAAAATGTCCTTTTCATGCGTCTTTTAAGCATCTGACACAATTCAGAGAATACTGTGGATGGTCCGTAAATCACTGCTACTTAAGTTGGTTGAGTGTTGCTTGGACGGTCTTGGCTTGGTCCAATGAATCTGTATCTGTAACTTCAGACATGGGGGCATCTACTAAGTTGAGGTGAATTCAGGACTGAATATTGATAGAGTTGGGAGAATGAGAGAGGTGACAGTGTCACTTGGACAGCTTGTTGATTTCTGGTCACTGCACTTTACCAGGGTCACGGAGAAGAGAGGGGAGCATTCAGAGGACAGTGGAGGGGATGGTGTACAGATCTGAAAATGGGGCCTTTGAGGATCAGATGAAGGAACTGGAGAGGACAAGCCCTATGATGTTTTGAGGGGATGCAGTTGGGGGGGTGGTGAATAGAAGAGAATCACCTAAAAATCTGTGACTCCTACAAGCGGTAGAACTAGACCTGAAAGCTGGAAGTTATAAAGAGAGGCTGGGGGGAGTGGGGTTGGGGAAGGGGAGAAATCCTGTAGAATAACATTTATGGAGCTTTCTGTGTCTTCCGTGGTTGACTATATAAAACTGTATACTTTAAAAATAATTTATAGTAAGAGAACTTGTGCATGCTGAAACTGTTTGCATTGCCCTCTGATGAAATGGGGGCTCCTAGGGGTTTTTGAATTCCCTGCCATGGAGGTATTTAAGCACTTGGAAGTGCTATGTAGGGAGTTTATCACCCCTCCCTTTCAAACTCAGAATCTAAAATTTCAAGAAAATTTTAGTAAACTGTTACCATCCCTAGTGATTTATATTAGGCATATTGTTACTGATGTTCAAGTGATGACAAGTTTTCAGCAAAGTGAAGAATCAAACTTCTCATGAATGCAGTGGTTGTACAGCTTAAAGATTTTTTTAAACCAATTGTGTCCTTTATTAATTCCAGGTAATGAAAACTGTTAGTTTCTTTGAAAAAGACATAGTAGAGATTCTTAAAATTTTTTCACTTTTCACCTTCTTGCCCTCTTCTTGTTCTATTTTTACAGCTGTGAGGAAGGCTACGCTGGGGCAAGATGTGAGAGAGTTGACTTGTTTTACTTAAGAGGAGATAGAGGGCAGATTTTGGTGATTTGTTTGATAGCAGTTATGGTCATTTTTATCATTTTGGTGGTTGGTGTCTGCACATGCTGTCAGTAAGTATTTTTAAATTTACTTTAAAGTAAATCTGAAAATTTTTTATCTTGTTCACAGTTTCCTTTCCTTCTCTCTCTCCTACCTACCTTTTCTCTTTCCTTTTGGCTTTGATGTAAATTGCTTTTCACAGTTTGCCATCCTTTACTTTGAAGTAATGAAACACATGACACTTGATTTTTTTTCATTTTACTGAGCACAATTATTATAATTTAAAATAAAATTTATATAAATATCTTAAATGAAAAAAAAGGAAGTGGGCAAAATGGATGAAGGTGACCCAAACGTACAAGCTTCTAATTGTAAGATAAATGGGTCCTGAGGATGTAATGTACGCTGGTGACTATAGTTAACAACACAGTATTGTGTATTTGAAAGTTGCTAATGGAGAAGATCTTAAAAATTCGCATTTCAAAAAGGAAACATTTTATAACTGTAGTGATGGATGATAAATAAACTTACTGTGGTGATCATTTTTCAGTATAAACAAATATCAAATCATTATGCTGTATACCTGAAAAGGATACAATGTTGTGTGTCAATTATTTAGTCCTGTAGTCAGTCATAATTTTTGTGTGTTTATTAGTGGGCTAAACAAGACTATTAAACTGTACCATGACACAGTAACTTTGAAAGATAGAAACAAGCAAACCAAAATGTTTTTTTCTTTGTCACACTGAAAACATGAATTTTATTTCCAAAAGATAATTGCACTGTTTTTCCTGTCTTTACTTTTCACTATATATCACAGCCTCAATAATCAAGAACAACCTTGTTTTCTTCTCTGAGACAGAATGGCTTGTTTCAATTCTTAAGTTAGTTTTGGAAACCTGTCAATTTTTTTTATCTGACCAGGACTCCCTCAGAATCTTAAAATGCTAGCTTCTTGTCTTGAGAAGCCTCCTGAACTGTTACACTTTGAAGCTGTGGTACACCTTAGAAGAGGGTGTCATGTGATTCCTTTCTTTACAGCATCCTTGGTAGAAAAACATGAGCATAGCTATCAAGAGTCTAGAGTCTTTGATTTTCATCCCAGCTCTGGCATTAAACATTTTTGAGAACTTGAACAAATTTTTTAACATCTTTACTTTTATTTTCTGTAAGACAAGAGGATTAAACCAAATAATCCATAGGATTTCTTCTAGCTATAAAAGCAAAAGTTATTTTTAACATTTTACCTTTATGGCAAAAAAAAAATACTTGGCATTTTTATAATGCCAAGTTTGGGGCAGAGCTGGGAAATGCCCTATTTTACTGAATTTTGTATTACACTTTAAGAAAACTGGACTGCAGTCTAGAATATCTAACATATTTCTTAATATAGCACATCCAGAGCTATCCTCCTTCTCTTTGGTTTTCTCATGTCTGTTTCCATTTTGTTCTATTTCTTGTTTACGTACTAAATACTTATCAGTCTAGTTTGTGACATGGCTTGACCCAAAAAATCTTCCTCTGCTCCCCATGCATTGTCAACAATCAGGCACCCTATTCTTTCTATATAGATACAACTAAATTCTATCCACACTGTTGCGATTGTAGCTGTCATTTCAGCCTAGAGAAAGAGATGGATTAAGAGAGAAAGTAAAATATATATTTTTTAAAAGGAACCCATACATTTCTAACAGTCTAGAAATAAGATCATAGGTCCTCTTGATGATTAATTTTGTGATTCTATGAACTAATAGGCCCACACTAATTTCTAACACTTTATTTTCCAAGTCCTCTTCGGAAACATCGTAAAAGAAGAAAGAAGGAAGAAGAAATGGAAACTCTGGGTAAAGATACAACTCCTATAAATGAAGACATTCAGGAGACTAGTATTGCTTAACGGTAAGTTCGATAAACATGGTTGATGGGAAACTAATCAGGGACATTTACCTGGTAAAGTGGGGCTTAACTGCATCTAGTAAATCATTGACTGGAATTTGATTGTGTTTAAAAACATCTCAAAATAAGATGATGATTTTTTCATAGACTCTGAAGCCAAATAAAAGACTCTCTCATATCTTTCTTTTGCATGATACTGCAGAGATAGCACATGGGAGAAAGGACTTTTATATATGTTTTCTAATGTACTGAGATCAGTGTGCTTTCTGGTTCTGCATGGTTGTGGTAGTGACTTTATATTTTTATAAAACATTAGCGATATTTGGTATATTTTTCATTTGGGGACACAGGAAGAAGTATTTTAGATATCTCACATTGAAAGAACATAGCAATGTTTTAATAATAACCATATTTATTGAGCAGTTACCACATGCCAAGCATTTTTTTGGAGCTCTTTAAATGTTCTATCAAATGGGACAGTGGGAATCACAAATCCCCCCGGATGATCCAATAAAGAGATTCTGATGAAGGGGCTGGGAGGGCAGGGTGGAGGGAGCCCATAGGAATGTGGGAGCTCCTGGAGTCTATCGAGGGCAGGCAGCTGTGCCCCTCCTATGCATGGAAGGGCTGGGGAAGAGTGATTTTGGCGTTGAGAGGCTGGCTGCACCTGGGTCGGGGGTGGCAGGGTTTAGGCAGGAGCTACTGTAGCTGTAGCTGTGGATGGTAAGAGCCACTGCCAGCACTTGAACAAGGAAGCAGGCAGGAAATGGGGAGAATAACCCCAAACCTTCTCTCTCTTGCTTTCAGATCTTCAGCAGGTGCCTCCCACTAGCCAAACCCCATGAGAACTCAGAGGGTAGGGTAACCCTTGTGATACAATCTGAAGGTCAGCCAGCCCCCTGGAGCATAGAGCAGGGCAGAGGAAGGTTCCGGAAGGGCAGACCGAGCACAGCCAGCTCAGTCAAACAAGATTGTTTTGTCTGTAACAGCATCAAACCCAACCAAACTAGTTCAAAATGAAGGAGACGTATTGGCTCACATGCACTGGCAGTCCAGAGGAGGCGTAGCATTCACACTTGCTTGTATCAGAGTTCCCACGCAGAGAAACATTATTTCTGTCTTTCTGCTCACCATTTGAAGAGTTGATTTCATCCTTGGCTAATTCATTTTAGGTCATAGAAGAGGCCAGCAGGGATCAGGGCCACATGCTTCCTTATCTCCATCAAGCAAGAAACAGCAGTGACTTTCCATAGCTTTCCCAGCAGTACAAAGAATCTCCTTTCCCAGATCATCCCAGCAGATTAATAGGGTAAAGGCTTATCAAAAAAATTGTAGTGTTCTCCTAACTTATTACCAAAATGACACTAATGAGTTGAAAACAAAAATGCTGGCTCTAGATTTTTTTTTAATTACCTAGTATGTTTCTTTTGAATGGTTTGCTCCTTTTCCTCCTCTTTTTTCTACAGTTAATGAAGGTACCTCCATTCTGGTGGCAAGCTACAAAATGCCTTATTCATTTGAAAATGGACAGAATGTGTCTCAGGAAAACAGCTAGCAACATGAATTTTAAATAATGTATTTACTTTTTGTTTGTAACGTTAACTTGTGTTGTTTACTATTGTTTTTATAATAAGAACAAATAATTTTATTATTGTTTGGTAATTGGGGAAAAGCACCCAGTTAAGAAGGGAAATTTTAATAAACTTCCACTTAAGTTTTGTCACCAGGGATTATTAGTCAAACAAACAAAAAAATAGGAAGGAGTTTAGATCTTAAGAACTGAATTAATAATAAAGCTGCCATTTATATGACACTATGTGCTAAGAGTGTGAAATATATTGTTTTCTTTAATTCCTTCAAGAACCTATGATCCTCATTTCTCATGCATAGAAACAGGCCTTAAGAAGTTGAATAATTTAACCCAGATTTACAGAGTCAGGATTTGGTGGAGCTGAAATTGGAACCAAGATTTACCCAAGTTCAACATTCATGCTGTTAACCATCATTTTTGTTCATTGGCGTTTCTGCAAACCAATTCATAATATAACCCAATATTTTACACTAAAGTGTTGTTTTGCCATGACTCTGGGACATTGGGACATTTTCCTGCAGAAACTCAGAATTCAGAGTCCTGGGTATATGTTACTGTTATTACCAACATGCTTTCTGTAGTCTTGACTTTCATTATGTTTCTTTGCTCCTTTATAAATTCTCAGTGATTTTCATACATTCTTACCTTAGTTAAGCAAAATTTGCCCCATTGCTAGGGTAATGAATAGAGATGGAAAGTAAATGTCTGACAGTCTTCAAGTCCCAGGTAAGTGTCTATGCTCATTAAAGGAGAGGTAACAGCTCTAAAAGAGTTTATTTATCCTCTGGTAAGTGGTCAGTGACAGCACAGCAGAGCCCAGGCAGAGACTGGCTGTGACCACATCCTCATTTTTGTTCTTCTGAAAAACAATGCCTGTGATTACTCTCAGGTAAATTTTGGTGAAATGAAATCATGACCATAATCATCTATTACTTGGAATCATCTTGCCAAATGCTTCTTCAACTCCATATTACATTGAATAAAGATTCTTTTAAAACTGAAAAAGCAAAGTGCACATTTAGCTGGAATTCCATAGAATATGGAAAGTTCTACTCTGACTGAGTGGACCATTTTCAAAACTGATGACAGATGTCCCCAAATTATGGCACGTTAGCTATTGTGCTTGTCAGCAAAGCAGCTTTTCCAGAATCTTTGTAACTTTTGCCTGGCAGTGTAGATGCCATACACCAAGGAAAAGGGGAGTTCAGAGAAAAGGTGAAGCTGAAAACTGCCGTCTATCACACATCATGTTTTAAGTGAGACTGAGGCTGTGATTAAGGTGTAACACAGAAATAGCTCAAATATCAATACGGGCTAAGTCAAACCACCGATAATTTTCTAAATCCATTTTTCCTTCTGACTTAACATCCTTGAAATAGGATTATATTCAACTGAACCCTGTTGTATATGCTATATTTTCAAAAGCCTCCTTCTGAGTCATTCTTTCCCTTTCTCAGTCTTCTTTGATACTAAAAGTGCTTGAAGCCAATGCTTATTAGAATGTTAAAGTCAAAAAATCAATGCTGTTAATGCTGCTTCTTTCCTGAACTGAGGTTGCTTGACCAATGGAAACTCTCAAGCCAATTCAAGCTTGGGAATTTTGTTTTGATTCTAAAAATGTTAAGGGTGTCTCTTGAAATTTGGTAGGTCTGAACTACCAAGAAAGACCTTCAAAGATTCATATCTTTTCAAAATGTATTTTATAATTGTTTGGCATATGCTAAGTGACCTTGTTTATGTAGACTGCCAGTATTATCATGTAATAAAATAAATTTATTTTTAAAACAAAGCAAATGTATGTTTACTTAGGAATTTTCTATTGTTACCCTGAATTATTAATCAAAATAAATTTGAACATTATTGCCTTAAAAAAGTTTATTTTATAGCAAAAATCATGAATACATTTGAAATAGTCTATTTTGACCATATGTTTTCCTTAGAATCTGAAGGATTGAGAAGTGCGCTAGACACCTAGGAGATTGTCTGCCCCACAGCCTGGCCCTATTTTTTAACACCATCTTCAGCTGCATTTGGTTGGTCTAAGGTAGGCACTTAATGAAGTTGGCCAATTGGAGCCCTTCCCAGGGGGATTGGGAGCTTGAACTAAAGTTCCTCCTCTTTGAGTCCTTGTGGGGCATAAAAATGCATTTTGAAGCTATTGGCAGTCATGTTTTGCTACATGTGGACCAGAAAAGCAAAGAGAGCTTGTGAGAGAATGGAGGTGAGACATAAATTTCCTGGCAGTTTGAGTTACTGTTGTGGGCATTTTTAAAGTTTAGCTTTATTCCCTTCCTGTGTGCAGGCTCCATGAGACATGTTAGTATCTTTATAATACATTCTTCATTTGGCTTAAGCTAGTTCTGTTTGGATTTGTGTAACTTGGAACCAAGATCCTGACTACTCTGGTGCATCTTGAGGTTGTGGATAACAGTCTCTGAAAGCATAAATGACATCCTTTATGGAACAGTACTATCAAAGTGTGCCTTCAGTTGTATCAGAACACTTCTAGGAACAATGTTGCGTTTTCACCATACAGCCATTCAGGACAGCAATTGCAGGGGAGCATGGGCTGGGAGCAGAGAGCCCAGCAAGCACTGATTGGGCACCTCCTGCATCCTAAGCACAATGCCACCCATCAAGACAAATAATAAGGAAGAATCAGACATGGTCCCTTAGGTAATTTATAATTTAGTGGGAGAAACGACTACTCATTGATAATTTCAATACAATTTGGTGCTCTGGGAAAGGCTTAAGGTATTAGGGGATTGGAGAGGAGGATGATTTAGCCAGCTTTATCAGGAATTGGAGAAGCCCCCTGAAGGAAATTACATCTGAATTGATGGCTAGCTCTGAGAAATAAAGGTCTTTGCCCCAAATCCCAGGTAAGGCCAGATATTTCTTGGATCCTTGTCAAATTGTATGGAATTTCTTGGAAAGCTCTAGCAGTAGAGAGACTAATAAGTGTTGCTACAAGGGAATAAAAGAAAGAGACAGAATCAAGGCTTCATGCCTTGTTTCAGAACGTCCCCCTCACGCGCATGACTGGGTGAAGAATATGGGCACGTGAGCTGTCAGGTGAGATGTTCCTGGTTCCAGTGATGTTACATTATTAAGCGATAGGTTGAGATGGAGAAGGGCTTTTGATTTCTTCCCTAAAGTGTATTATTTGGCCCTTTTACATTTCTCAATCTATATTACTGTCCATGGTGAAGGAGGGTTATGTAGAGAGTGGAGTCAAACATTCTGGGTCAAATAACTAGCTTTTTTGAAAAGGCCCTGGTTTGTGCAAAATTCTGTGAAGGAAGTCTAGGACATATTTCAATGCCCACACTTTTAAGACCAAGCTATGACCTTAATGAGACCTTTATTTTAGTATCATATTCTGCATATATATTTAGTTTATATTCTGCATATACTATGTTATGAGAACCCAAATGTATTGGGGAATTGCTGTCGTTCATTAATTCAAAAATATTTATTAAGCACCTACTAAGACTGAGTACCTTAGGTTCTGGGACCTCATCAGTGAACAAAAATCTATGACCTTGTGGTCTCACTAGCTTATGTTGCAGTGGCTATAATCTTTCCTAGCATTAAATTTAAAACAAAGCTTATCCAAGAGGTTACGTTATCCAGAGATCATTGTCATTAGACTTTTAACCTATGCCATTGTCTTGGAGCATAAAAGTCAAGGTGAGCATTCACAGAAGAACCCAGTATATGGTAAGATCAGCCCATTTCTTTTGATCCCCAAATAATTCAAATATTTTAATAATGACAATCAAAAGCAAAAAAAAGTATAACTATGTTTTTTTGGGTAAAAATCTTGGTTTACACATTTTTTTTTGTTATGGTTGATGAACATAGGTGCTGTATTTGGGCATCTGTTCTTCAAAGGATCCTCTGTGCTTCAGAGTATTTTTCGGCAAAGGAGCCTGTTCCCATGTGATCAACTTTGGCAACTGAGTGTTAATGCTGGAACATAATGTGCAAATAGTCTATCCTTGCCTGTGTGCTAATGTTACTCATCCTGGGAATGTGTATCTTATAATAACATCTAGTTGGCACTTCTGTAAACTCATTTGCCCTCAGGACCTGTCAGGTGTTTGAAGTAGTCTGAAATTCTATATTAGGAAACTAAATAAATTATGTAACTTCAAAAACTATATCGGCAATTATTTTCAAGAGATAAATTATGCTTCTGCTATTGGAAATTTCAAAATGTGGGTATCCAGAAATGTTTCATCTACAATTACAGTCCGTGCTTGTATTAGAAAAGAAATGTTAACTAAACATGTTTTTAAAGACTTTTTCCTCCCATTTTTATTATTCTTACTCAAGTTTAAGTTACCAAAAAAAAATAGTGCAACAGAGGTACTTCAGTAACTGTTTCCTTTTTTCTCCTTCTTCAGTTTATTTAAAAGAAGCTAACAAAACAGAATTCTCCACAAACACAGAACTCCTTAATGTTGCTTGCTGCTGCGGCAAGTATAATTATTCTTGTATGGTGTGTGCAGAATGATAAATTTTTTTGAAGCTCTGTGATCCAAACTGGATAATTATTTGTCATATGTTGGGTTTTAATAAGCAGTGAAAGAGAACTTTTTTCCAACTTGCTCTGTAAAACCATTTTTGAAATACTGCAATGTATAAGCTAATTTTAATAAACCTGTTTTAAGCATATTCTTTTTTAACACCTTAGAAACATTTGTTTACTCAATGAACCAGAACTAACAACCCTAAAAAAAAAATCATTTGCATAGTGTTTTTTGTCTGTTGGTTGGTTTCGTTTATTTTACTCCTGAAGATCATCTGGTCATGGTGATTTACTCCTGGTGATCAACTGGGTTGTCACCTCTCTGCCTCTTAATTCAAACTGCACATCAAAATCTCTGAACTCTTAACCAAACCAGTGTCCTGGTTATTCTATAAATGGCATAGGGATGGGGGAAATTTGCTTTTGAGCTATTATGATGCAAAGGCTTTGAGCGTAGGATCTTTATTCAGACAGATCTGGGCTTCAGTCCCTGATCTCTCACTTACTGGGAGCCCCTGGGCAAGTTTCGTAACCCTACGAATGTTCCCATCAACCAGGTGACAATAAATAATAAATAGGGTGGCCTGAGAGGATTAGATGAGATAAAGCCAGCAAAATGTTTAGCCTCACACCTGGAATATTTTAAGCATTCTTGAGGTAAACGTTCAACTAATATTAATTACTATTAGAAAGACCAATAATATTAAGGGTGATAATGATGAAAATGATGTTCTCTGATTACTCTTACGGAAAACAAGGATCTCATTTCTGAAGTGAAATCAGTGCACTGATGCAGTAAAAGTTCTCTGTGTTTTTAAGGATTCATGATCCCTGTGGAAAGGAATGTCTTTCTGCTTTGTCTGAACAAGCCATGTTTAGGTAAAGAATTCCAGCTTGGTGACTGGCCCTAAAGACTGCCTCATTTCTCTCTCTATATTCTTCCCGCCTCCCTTCCCTACTCCTTTCTTGAAAAAACCCAATGAGATAAACTGAAGAAGAGTTATTACAATGCTATTGAAAATAATTAATAATAATTAATAATTAAAGGCCTAATGATTTTTAAATTGTGCTGTGATAAGTCTGCTATTTTGGGAGGTGGAGTTGGACTTTACCACTTGTAAACTCAACGTTATTGGAGGAGTTAAAAATAATTTGGGCCTGGGCCAGGAAGTAACCTCTCTTATTGTTTATTCACAGTGTGCTTGCACGGTAAGAATTATTATCCACATTTGCATGATTATGACCCTAAGGTTCAGGAGGCTTACATACAGATCCTGCCAGATCATTTTACTTGTAAATCATTGTCACCTGCCTCTTAACTTTGGCATCTCAAACCTTGAAATAAAAGTACAACTGAAATTATTTACCTTCCAAAGGAGAGAAAAAGAAATGTAGACTCTGCCAGTTAGCTCAGTAAATGACTACTACGTGTGACAGCATTTGAGACATTTTCAAAAGTGAAAACTGAACAGGAATAAGATAAAGGATTCAGTGGCAACCAGCTGATTAGCTTTGCTTGTTTTTAGAATTCAACCTTTCAGCCAGATTGAACAGGTTTAGCTATCTTTTCTGAAGTCTGTTAAAACATCTAAAAATAAGAGAAAATGACATTAAATAAAACACATGTAGATTGAGCAACAGGGCATGTGCACTAAATCAAGGTACTCAATTTGGCAGGACCAAAATAATCTCTTGAACCACAAAGGATATGAAGAAGTAAAAAGCCCGGAGAGTATTTGGCTGTTCCTGAAGCTTTTACAAATAGTAAAATTTTATACGAACTGATTTATTTAAAAATATTTTTCTGATACCCCAAATTAACTCCATATTGTTCAGGTCCCTTAAATTCAGTGGAACTTCATTAATTTAAACCCCACCCATCAGCATTTGTCACCATTTAGACATGGAATAAGCAGGTGTTTACCTTCACGATAATGAAGAAATCGTATTTTTTAAAACTCACAAGTAGGTATCAATGTTAAAAACCTTTCCAATACTTTGAATAAAAGTGGGGAGAGTGGACATCCTTATCGTGTTCCTGATCTTAGAGGAAATGCTTTCAGCTTTTCACCACTGAGAATAACGTTAGCTGTGGGTTTGTCATATATGGAGTTTATTATGGTGAGGTATGTTCCCTCTATGCCCACTTTCTGGAGTTTTTTTTTTTTATCACAAATGGATGTTGAATTATCAAAAGCTTTTTCTGCATCTATTTGGATGATCATACGGTTTTTATTCTTCAGTTTGCTCCT